GCCCGTGGCTCAGAGCAGATCGCAGGCACTTGGCACCTCCAGCGCCATCCTGAAGGGTGCGGAGGGTTCTTCGCATCCCGGGGTGACCCTCTCTGCTCGTCCAGAGCGGCCCCTAAAACACAGCTTGTCCTCGGTGTGTCCCATAACATGTTTTCCTGGGGAGTCTCACCCCAGGAGGGGCTGATCCTGTTATCAAGCTGGAGCTGCCAGCAGGTTAAAAGGCTACCAGTGCAGATGGGTTGGAAGGAAGTGTTGGCAAGGCCCTTCCAAGATGTGGATTGGCAGTGGCCGGGGATGATCTCAACCGGAATTTCTGCTTAAGGCTTTTATTGGTTGTGGTTTTTTGTTAGAATAAAGTTGGGAATCACGTAAATTAGCTGTTAGCATTGATTTTCTCTTTTAAATAGGGATTCCAGCTCCAGCTGTCTACTTCGTGGATTATGTCACCAACTCCATTTATCTTGAAGATATTGTAGACTCAGTTACAGTTCAAGATCATATTTACTCTGTACAGCGGAGTGGAAATGATACCAGCAGCCTCCAGGACTTAGCAGAGAAGATGGGTGAGCTGTTAGCAAGGATGCACGATGAAGATATTATCCATGGGGATCTCACAACTGCCAATCTCCTTCTGCGACCACCCGTGGAGAAGCTGGACTTGGTGTTGATAGACTTTGGACTCAGTTTTATTTCAGGTCTTCCAGAGGATAAAGGAGTCGATTTGTATGTTCTGGAAAAAGCCTTCATTAGCACTCATCCAGATACTGAAGTGATGTTTAAAGCTCTGCTGAAGAGCTATGCTGCCACATCTAAAAAATCTGGTCCTGTGATCAAAAAGCTGGATGAGGTGCGACTGAGGGGAAGGAAGAGATCCATGATTGGGTAGAAGAGGGCAGGCTTAGGGATGGGGAAATATTACCTTCTGCAGATAGGGCTATTTATATTTCTAGTTGGGTTTATTTCACATATCACTATTTTGATAACTGTGTCTTCAAATAAATAAATTTGAACGAGTTTAAGCGTCCTAAAGTAACCAAAGTATTTGTGAGATGGGAGCACAGCCAAGAGAGAAACAACTAAAGGTCACTTCTTTCCTAAATGTTAAATATTTCATCTACAAAGTAGTTTGCAGTCATTCCACTCGTGTTCCTTGTGTGGTTATAATCATTCAGTCATCTTGCTCAGCCTGCAGACCATGAATTTGTGAGATGTTCTTACCTGGGGGTACCTGAGCATCTATAAAAGGTAACTGAGAAAGAGAAATATGTTATTTTAATAAAAAAATGTGTTATTTTTCTCAGAAGACTTTACAAATGAGGTATTTAAATCCATTATAAATGACTCTACACGTCCTGAAGTTTTTCTGGAGACCTGAATTCCAGGACATGGGCAATGCTGAAACACAGCACTAAACATAACCCGGGTTTATTTTCTTCTGGTAGTAATTTTGGCTTTTTTTTTTACTTTCAGTCCATAGTACTTCCTTAAGGAAATAAAAACTTGTTAATCAAGAACACTTTCCTGCTGAGAAACTTCCACTTTAAGCAAGAAGTCTGCTGTTAATTTCCATTTTTGATGCTTTATAAGAGGGACTGCTCAGTTGGCAGAGACAGATGGTAATACTCTTTCTTGTAATGTTTTCTCTATATCAGTTCTTTTTCTGGGTTACTCTGTCTAATGTGAATGTAAGATGTCCCAGAGGAAAAGCCTTACACACCCTGGGTGGGTTACAGGATAATTGTACTATGAGCAGGTTGGGGTGCAAGTTGTGCCCTCACTGAGTGTGTGAGCTTTATCATTTACTGCAGGTAGTGGTGGAAAAGAGACAGTGAACTCCTCCCTGTGCTGGGCAGCCTTTACCCATCGGGAAAATCCTCTGTTCTCTGGTGCTCTGTCTGAAAATGGATAAGAGGGAGCAAAGTGTGCCTCACCCCTCCACATCCATGGATGTGTCCCGTGCGGATCTGCATCCGTGGGGGAGAAGGCAGCTGCGAGAGAATGCTCTGCCAGGCAGGAGAGAGGGCTGAGGGCTTCTTCCTCCGCGCTCAGAGCGACCCGAGCAAAGGGCTCGGGGCCGGCGGGACCCCTTCGGGATTTTTTTTCGGGCGCGGAGCGGGGCGGCGGGCGGCGGCCGCAACCAACAAGGCGGCCTCCGAGATGCGCCTCGCTCCGCGCCGGTGGCGCGGCGCAGCGCTGCCGCCTCCGCCCCGCGAGTGGCCGGTTCGCGTTCCCGCAAGTGTCCTAGCGCGGCGGGCTGCCCGTGCCCGGCGCGCATTCACCTCTTGCCAGAGGAGCCGCCTGGGCGAGTGCCCGGCCCCGGCGTGGGGTTCGGGTTCCACCGCCCAGCCACACACACCTTTTGGCTTGCGCTCGCAGCGAAACCGGCAGCGCTGTGGTTTCCTTTTTACCCCCGCGGGGCGAGGAGGCGCGTGCCCGCGCAGGGGCCGAGGCTGCTCGAGCGCCTGTCCTGCCTTCCCGGGGTCGGTGCCCGGCACACGGGCATCGGAGCGTGCTGCGGGAGCGGCGGCCTTGGTAAGGCGCGGCGGAGCAGGAGGATGTGAGCAAAGGAGCTGAGCCGAGGGCCCCGGGTTGCCGGAGGAGGCTGCACCCTGAGCTCCCTGCCCGCCGGCCAACATCTGTACAAACACCGCTCTCGCTGTCTCCCGGTGATGCCAGGATTGAGTTCTGTTTGCAAAGCCCTTTGAAGAAGCCTGTTTCTAACTATCGTGGTGTTTATTAAAACGCAGCTCCCCCCGCGGGACAGCGGAGCAGAAACAAAGCTGATCCACGGGGAGCTTTCGGGGCCGGCACGGTGCTCTGAGCCGGGGCCGGCAGCCCGTGGTGAGGCCAGTCCTCTCGGGGAGCTGGTGCGTGGGACTGGCCTTCGAGCAGGGGCTCCTGAATTGGCCTCTGCTGAAATCAGCTCTGTGACGGAGCTTCAAAACAAAGCAGAACTTTACTGGTCATGAAAAGCAAAAATGTTTTGCTTTCTCACTGCATGATAAACTCCTTCTCGTTATGTAAGTGTTACTTTCCACACATCTGTGTCACGAATTGTTGATAATTCCTCTCGATCAGCCTGATGTGTCCTTTGGTTTGTTGTAGTGAATGCTGAGCTATTGCTGTTTGAGGATGGAAAAATCTCAGCAGGTGCTTGTCCAGCAAAGAGGACACTCCAGACCTGCAAAATGTCCAACCCACGTCTTCTTGCAGCCTCAGCTGTATCACCCCACCAGTCCATCAGGAGCTGGACTCGATGGTCCTTGTGGGCTCCTTCCAACTCAGGTTATTCTGATTCTATACCAGCAGCAGCAGTTCACTGGATGAAAACCACTGCTTCCCTGGCTGGTTCACAGGGCAGGTGGAGTTTCCAGTCTTTGTTTGACTGGGAATAGCCTGACATACTGCTGTGTTAGTTTTCTGTGCATCTGTGTGGTCATAAGTGACACTGTATTGTTATTAATAATATTAATTATTATTATTATTATTATCCATTGCATTATTAATTCTCAGGCTTTATGTTCAGTGCATGTGCATTCTCATAAGGAAAATGGGATTCCTGTTTTCTTCTCTTTTTTTCACATGAATAGTTTATCTGCTGCAAATACAATTTCAAGCCATCAATGTTCTTTCAGAGTTTGGTCTGACTTTATAAAAACAGTCCTTGCAACCCAGTTTAGCTCATTTGAGTTTAACTGGAGAACCAATAAAATAAAAAGTACTCTTTTAAGTGAAATCAAAACAATAATATTTGGAAAGAGGTAAATGAATGGAAGTGGGAAGGTGACAGTCAGTCCCACCCTTTTCAGAGTACGGGTCTGGACACTGAGGATGGTGACAGCTCCGTGTGACACTGGCAGAAGTGATGTCCTGCCCTGGCTTACCCAGAGAGGCTGTTGTCACCAGCCCCAAAGGCTGTGTTGACCTTCAGCCCCTCCAAAACCTTCCTGCTTGCCTTTGGGGGGACCCTGAGACGGTGGGCTGTGAAGGGTGATGGCTCGTGGTGCACCCAACCACTGGGGGTCTCTCTGCCACCGTCACTAGCACTGGGAAAATCCGTATGTTTAGGGAAAATCTCTGAACAGAACGTATTTCCAGCTGTGTGCTGGATGGACAGTTGGTCACTCTGGGTCCTTCTGCTGCTTGAATCTTTCCACTTTTAAGAACAAATTGTTGTCTCAGGAGACCAACTCCAGACCTGCCAGGAACAGCTTCATTTCCAGGGGCTTCCTCGTGCCGGCCTGGACCAAAGTGCCACGACACAACGAGGTGCAGATAAGCTGCAGAAAGAGGAGTTAAAGGAAAGAGGGAAGAGAAATGAAATGGAAAGAGGTGTTTTACTGGCAGCATTAGGATTTCAGAGGGAATCACGGGGGGATGGAATTTCCTTTTCTGTTTATTTTGGTATCTGACCATCACCAGTGATTTCTGTGGTGGGACTGGGAACCAGCTTGCGAGCTCATGGATACCAGCCTGACTTCAGTTTGGGGTAATTATGCTAAGCTGTGTTTTGCCCATGGATGCCATGAGGGCATCCCTGAACTAAGGGATTTTTCGAGATAAACGTGAGTTGTAGACCTATAGGAGCACTAAGAGGAAAAAGGGACGTGAAAAAAAAAACCCCACATACAAGCAAGGAACAGGGATGAAGATACTGTTGCATAATCTGGGAACGCTGTTACCTTGACTTTTGGACGGTGGCAGCTCTGTGCCTGTAATTACTGTGTGGATATATAAAAACTGTGCATACAGCCTATATGCTGTAGCTTTTTCCAGTGAACTTTTTTTTCAGTCTAGGCCTTGATGTCTGCAGAAAATTGATATTTTCCAGTTTTGCAAGATGCAAAACACTGATAACCTTTTGCAACCCTCCTCTCCCATCAGTGCTGATAGGAAACCAAGTTAGTGCAATAAAAGCATAAAAGCTCATTTGTAACCCAGGGTTCACTCCGTGAGGGTCACTACAGATAAATAAAGCCTCTCCCTGGCCCAAGCACAAACGGTGTCCCACAGTGGTCCCTTTGGGCACTATGCAGCACCTCTTTCTTTTGCTAACAAACCAAACTTACTTTAAGTAGCAGAGAATAATGGCCCAGGAGTGCAGTGAGGTCTGATGCCAGTGATAGGGTTAGTGATAGGGCACAGCCAGGGCAGCTGCAGCCACTGCTGGCACTGGAAATGGGGGTGATAGAGATGGAGCTTACAAGAAAACAAATTAATTAAACATTTTTTCCCAGCTGAAGTCCGGGAAGGCCGAGTTAACCAGCATGTAGCCCCTGCACAATGTGCTCGGCTGGGAAGCACTGGAGGCTGAGCCAGCATCCACCCCGCTGAGCCGAGAGGGGCCGGGTGGGATCGGGGAAGGGACTGTCCAGGCAGGGACGTGACTTGTGTCTTGGAGGGGAATGTGCTGCCGGTCCCCTCGCCCTCCACACTGCCAGAAGTCTGTATCCTCACAAGAGAAAGAACAGACTGTGACATTGGCAGCTTATTATTCTTTTGGAGCTTTTTTTGACTTACAAGGTTGATTTTGAGAGAAGAAGTTTTGTAGCGCTCCTTTGCTCCGGCATGTGACACACACTCATAGAGGGGCTCCCAGCCTCTGGCTCATGGGTATTTTGGGTAAGCTGAACCTGTTTTAGGCAATTCTGCTTTCAGGCCGTCAGCCATCCATCTGCCCATCCTCTCCATCACACACCACCACCCGAGTGATGAGGCAGCTCGTGCTGCCCCAGCCCGGCTGCAGCGGCCACGAATGGCAGCGCAGCAACCTCCTACTCTTTTTTTTTTTTTTTCGTAGTCATGATAACTTCTTATTCACGCTGTTGAGCAGTTAAAGAAAGGCAAGACGAAAACCCCCATGGCTTTCCCTCGGTCAGCTCTGTGCTTTCTCCCGGGCCCGGCAGAAGGCGCGTTTGCCAGCGGGGCCGGGCGGCCGCGGGGCCGGGCGCCAGGAGGATGCCGGATCCTCGCGTTGCCAGCGGCCCCCGGCAGTGCCCGGCAAAAGCCTTTGTGCCCGTTCTGCTGTTTGAAAAGAGCCGCGGTGCTGATGCCGTCACCCTTTAGCCCCTGCCCGGGATGGCTGCGGGGATTAACTGGTTTGGTACTATTTGTGCAAAGTTATGTATGTGCCATTAAGGAGAGGGAGGGGAATGGAGGACAAGGGTGCAGTCCTGTCTCTGATGCTGGTTGTAACACCACACTCTTCCTCTCTAGTTTCTTGTGCCAGTGATCCATGGTTTGTAGAAAGAGGACAGAGCTTTCTGGGGTCTGCTTTTTTATCCAATGCATTTGACTCCAACTTCCATGATGCTCTAGGAAGTAGTACCAAAGAGTAGTAACTCTTCAGAGAGCTGATTATTGGTGAAAGGGAAGGGTTTTTCTGCTGAACATGAGTTTTATACATCTTCCATATATATAGGGCCAATTTACCCAAGATTTCAATGTGTTTGAAAGCACTCAAAGGATGCTGGTGTAGTACTAAGGATGCTATTTTGCTTCCCCATTTTTCTCCTCATCACCCAGCTGCACTTAGCCTCCAATTGTGAGAATCCAGGTGATGCAAAAAGCAGAGAGAAAACCCAGCTCCCTTGACTTTGATCTCTTGCTCATCTTGACAGTGCAGCAGCTCTGTCTCCTGGGATGTTTGCTGCTCCCTGCAGTCAGGTGGAGACCAGCAACCTCCTCAGTGTTAACTGAAGTTCACCGTGGTCCGGGAGAGGGGATCCTGTCCTGTCCCATGTATTCCACCATTTTCTTTCCTATGGCCCCGAGACAGGGCAGAGCTGGCAGGAAAATCCTCCCTCAGAGTTCAAACCGGGCAGCTTTTGCGTTTTCTTTTCGACTCATGGTTGAAGCATCCTTAAGGTCCATCCTGATAGGACACCCAGGGGATAATCATATGCTCCTCGCTTGCTTGCTTGGGCTCACACTTGTGTGAGCCAAGACTTTGCCTCCTGCTTTT